CCCCCCCCCCACCCCCAGGGCCCCGTCAGCAGATCCCTGCCCCCCCAACACCCCCTAACTGATCTCTCACTCCCTCCCCCCCGAGCCCATGGCACCTCCAGCCAATTCCTGCCCCCCCCAGTCTATGGCACCTCCAGTCAATCCCTCCCACTCCCCACCTCTGACCCCACAGCATCTCCAGCCAATCTCTCCCACCACCACCACCCTCCCCGACCCCAGGGCACCTCCAGCCAATCCCTCCAACCCCCCGGGCCCCATGACACCTCCAGCCCAGCTTGCCGAGCCCCCGACCCAGTGGCACCCTACGCTGCTGTGTGTTCTGCGTATGGGGTACGGCGCCACCTGTGAGCAGCCCAGAATGTCCATCTCCATTGCCCATCTGGGTGTTCTCACACCAGCCCCTTTGCGCTTTCTCTGATGCTGCCTCCATGTCCGGAGGGGCTCCCCATACTCATCCCCAGAGCTACCTCCAGGGTGGGTTGATTTAAATCAAGGAGATTTAAATCATTGCTTTAAATCACACAAAAAAATCATTGATTTAACGCAAGTTTCCCATTGATACTCCCTCATCTGTCTTCAAGCAACGGCGCAGATCTGATCACTAGAACATGTTCATTCACAGCTCAGTGCAGCATTTTACAAGCTCCAAGAGGGAATCCTTTGTGCAATTGTTTTAGGTGACTTGATTTTTATTAATTTAGGAAACAGCACATGATACTCATTGCCTGTGTCAAGCTGCAGATGCAGGAGCAGCTTGCTAGGAATGACAAGGATTAAATCCTACACACAACCACAATAGCATTTACATTTTAGTCAGCTAAATCTTACATGTTACATAAATATTTCAGACTTGCAATTGAAGCAGGCTCCTGAGTTGCCGGCTGTCAGGCTGCCCTTAAACTTGTTTTTATTAATTTTTAAATTTTATTAACTCTCAGATCTATCCTCAGAATGCTCCGGCTATGTCTACACTAGGGGTTTTTTTTTGGCGGACGAGGCAATGTAAATAAAGTGCTCATTAGCATTTTCTCATGCTTCATTTGCATAATCTCTTCTGATGCTTTTTGTACAAGAGGTTTTTGCACAAAACCTAGCAGTGTAGACGGATCCTTTTTGCACAAAAAAAACCTTTTGCGGAAGATCCTTATATTTTGAGGCATAAGGATCTTCCGCAAAAGGTTTTTTTTTTTTGCACAAAACAGATCCATCTACACCGTTTGTTTTTGCGCAAAGACCTCATGCTCAAAAAGCATTGGAAGAGATTATGCAAATGAAGCACGAGACAATGCTAATGAGTGCTTCATTTGCATTGACTCTTTCCGAAAAAAGAGTCAGTGTAGACATAGCTTCCATGTGCAGTATCCTGAAATGTCTATATTTAATGAAATATAAATTGAAAAAATGACACACAGTGGCAAACGGCAACTCCAGATTTCTCTTACTGCAGCTTTCTGAACGCCAGTGTTTCCCAATTTTATTTGGCCACAGAACCCTTTTAAACTCGAAAGAATTTTGCAGAACCCCTAATAACAGTCTTATATATGGAGCTGAAAAAGTAGACCACAAATAAGTAAGGATAATAATAAACAAATGCTCAGCAAGGTCATGAGATCAACATTTAGTTTAATTGCACATATTTAAAAACAAAAATCACATTTAATGCGTGCCAAAAATAAAACTCAAAAACAAATATGCATTATATTGGCAGTTTTCAATGCGAAGAGTGGTTTTTCTTCTTCTCTTGGCAAATTCTTTTTATATTTGGTTTAATACTGGAAACTGGTGTATAAAGTACTGGTGGTATATAACAGGCCTGCGCACTCCCATACAAGCAACTGGTTTGACAGTTGAAGCTTCAACTTTGTCCGATGCGGCGCTAGTATATTCGTATTCAGTCACCCACGTGAACCACGCTCCCTGACAGTGAGTACGGGGATTTACGGTGGCATATAACAGGCGCTCGCACCACTGACTGACTGTCCCCACTCTCTGGCTAAGCTGGCATTACACAGGGACACTTATCGTGGCAAACACAAACGAAAACTGTTTTCAATAAAATTCATAAATGCTTCAATATTAATTATTATTTTTAAATCATAAAGGCTACCTCTAGATTGTATCCCTTTTCCATAAAAGGGATGCAAATTAGACGTATCGCAATTGCAAGTGAAGCGGGGATTTAAATCTCCCCCACTTCATTAGCATAAAAATGTCTGCCGCTTTTTTTCGGCAAGGAGCTTTGCCAGAAAAAAGCGCCAGTCTAGACGCGGATCTTTCAGAAAATAAAGCCTTTTCCGAAAGATCTCTTATCCTTCTTAAAACAAGGGATAAGGGATCTTTCGGAAAAGGCTTTATTTTCCGAAAGATCCGCGTCTAGACTGGCGCTTTTTTCCGGCAAAGCGCCGTGCTGAAAAAAAGCGGCAGCCATTTTTATGCTAATGAAGCGGGGGAGATTTAAATCCCCGCTTCATTTGCAATTGCGATACGTCTAATTTGCATCCCTTTTACGGAAAAGGGATGCAGTCTGGACATAGCCAAAATGTTATTGTAATGGAATTTTCTTGCAGAACCCCATATTTTCACTTTGCGGAAGCCTGGAGTGCTGTGGAACACCGTTTGGGAAACAGTGCCGTGCGCTATACTTGGGCGATAAGTGTCTAACCCTAGTTAATTAATTAAACAAGCCATAAGGATTAGCTAAGCTCAACAATTTTCCTAGCAGCCTCCAACATAGCAACCAGCTTGGGAATTAACTCGACACATCACACTGCTGCTAAAAGGCCGAGAGAGAGGCTGGAAGCACGAGGCCGTGCAAAGTTGAGCCACATGGTTCTTCAGACATTCGCACGTCTTCATCCACATCATTTTCTCCCAATAAGCCGTTTTCCTTCTGATGTTTCATTCTAGCAGCTAGGCCCTGAATTTTCTTCTTGCTCTGCTGACACTTGACATGTTTTTCTTTTTCACCCAGGGAACAACGTTCTTCAAAATATTCCCAGATAGGGCCCCCGTTTACACCCAGAAGCCAGGACAATTTCTCTGTGGCAAAAGTGTAAGGAATCTAGGAATCTGTGTGCTGAATAATCTCTTCCCTTTTCCTTTCCAGCTCACTCCACTGCTCCTTTCTACTCTGGCTCCGTCCTTTCCTATATATCATCTCGCTGTCATTAGACACTGTTTGAACCAATTCTGCCACGCTTGGCCCAGGTTCCCCACCCCAAACGCCAGGGCTGGCCCACAACATTTTGGCATCTGAGGCGGGGAACTCAAATGACGCCCCTAGCTTGGGCCAAAACTTTGAAAGGTCTCAATTCTGCCTTCTTCCTGTTCTACTCCTCTCATGGAACTGCTCTGTTACCTACATGTGCCCCAGGAGCAGACACAATTTTCTACCCTCTGGGTCCTATTGGTGCCCTCCCACAGTCTGGCACCTGAAGCGGCTGCCTCAGTTCGCCTCGTGGTAGGGTCAGCCCTGCCATACACACAGAACAAACCCGGTCCTTTCCGGTCTCTGGGTGTCTTTCCATGTTACTTTAGCCTGCTGAGAAACAGAAACTGAAATCCCAGAATTTTTGAGACGCCAGAGCTGGTTGTTTGGCTGGACAGACTCGAGCCACTAAATCGATTTTATGAGACTGTAAGTAGGTGTAGCATGTTTGTGGCCAGATTTCACGGAACTGTTCTTTTTTAACGCAAAAGTTAGTATTTTCTTGCTGATTTTTAAAAAAGTTATAAAATCTGAGTTTTAATTTTTATTTTAAATCATTGATTTGTATCCACTCGGGTACCTCGTTGGCCTCCTTCGAACTCTGCCGAGAAGATGCCCGGCTCCGCCCAGCAAAGCCCGCAGCCTCGTGTTGTAAGCCCTGGGGGGAGCCGGGCATCCTCACTGCAGAGTTACCCTGTTACTCTTACTCCCCCCATGCCATGAGGACGGCCAGGCTGGAGACGTGGTCGCAGCTGCACGTGGTGTGGGTGGCGTTGGAGCGCAGGACCCTGCACCCTGCCGGAGACCAACTGCCATTCTGGGCCGTGGTTTCCCATGAGACACAGGTGGGCTTCTCGGAGGGGTTGTGTGGCTGCAAAATATAGATATAGATATAGGTCAAAAGTGGAAGGAATAACGCAGGATGGAAAAAACACGGCGCCGGGAGTGTGGGTCAGGGTCTCCCATGCCGTGAGAGGCAGATGGGCAGAGGCCGGGGACAGGGTACACATGAGCCTCCTCCTCCGGGTGCCCCCATTTCGGGAACACCCATGCTGTGGAGCAGGAAGCTGCTCTGTGTGCTGCTGCTCCCCTCCCGCAGCTGGGGAAGACCACCGCAGTGACGTGCTTCTCCTGGGGCTTTCCCCCACCGCTCCCATAGCAGCGGGGTCAGTGCCTGGGGGCACCGTGGCGCATGGAAACACACGTGTCTCTGGGAGATGGCTGCCAGGTAAGCGCCCCACCCCCATCCCTGTCACACTCAGACCCCACAGTGAACACCCTGGTCTGGCAAAATCTTTAAGCCGGCATGCCCCGTTTCCCACGGTTGCTGGATTAAAGAGGTTCAAGTGTATTAGATTGGGACTCAGGAGAGCTGAGTTTTAGTGCTAGCTCTGCCACTGGCCTTGACTGAGTCACTCAACAGCTCTGTGCCTCAGTTTCCCCTTTGTCTAGAGAGTCTAAGGCCAGGTCTCCACTACAGCCAAAGGGCCTCTTAAGGTATGTACAAAACATAGCTGGAGTTGACATGCCTTAAGACGAAGTTTGGCATCATCCTCACAGCAGGAGAAATGCTCCCGACTTCCCCTACTCCTTGGAGTAGAAGTTCCAGTGCTAAGCAGGGGAGGGGTGTGCCCTCAGCATTCAATTTAGTGGGTCTTTACTAGACCCACTCAATCGAATGCCAGAAGATCAAACGCTGCAGCATCTCAGTAGTCTAGTCATGACCTAAGCTCTTGGTGACAAGGGCTGTCTCATGCGATGGGCCAAGCCTGCCACATGGGTGGGGGAAGGGGCACGCTGATTTCAGCAAGCGCATTAGCACCAATCCCTAATAGGAGGGCAGAGGTGTAGCAGGGCTCTCTATCACCCCCTCGTCCCCCCAACAGTGGGCCAGAGGACACCTATAAGATGGGTTGGAAGGGCTCCCAGCCCTCTGGGCCTGCCTCAGTGCAGCTGAAGCGACCTTTCCCTGCTCCTCGTATTGACCCCTGCAGTGCTCTCCAGCCATCAAGCAAAGCGCTTTACAAAGGTCACTATCATTAGCTTCATTTTACAAGTGGGGAAACTGAGGCATGGAGCGAGGTTGTGTGTGGGGGTGTGTGTGTGTGTGGAGATGAAAGTCATCCAGCAGAACCAGGAGTAGAAGCCAAGTCCTGCACCAGTGCTCTATCCACTAGGACACACTGTCTGCCCTGTGTTCCTCTTTCCTCACTTCTCCTGCTTCCCAAATCCAGGGATTGGACATTTACGAGTCTGCTCCTGAGCCTTGGTTAATGGAGGTGGCCTGTTAATGACTGAAGCCGAGAGTTGGATTTTCAGCTCCAGAGATCCTGTGTTCACATTGCCCCAGGGCAGCATCGCGCTGGGGGGAGAACACAGGAATCCCTCCCACCTGAGAGCTAATTCAGAGCCACTTCCCCCCCAGAGGAGCCAGGCTGCTCCTGAAAATCCAGGCTCAACCCCAGCGGCCGCTCGTGGAGGGACTCACCATGATGTGCTGGAAGGTGTAGTTCACTGGATCTGTGAAGTTGGTCTTGGTCTGGCTGGTCAGCCAGGCACTCACCACCCTGGAAATCATCCGGATGGCGTGGCTAGAAGCGGCCTTCTGGTCTTGGAAGAAACTTCCGTTCATGATGGTTTCCATGCCCACGTAGGAGGCAAACACCACTCCAGCCGCGCCTGCAAGTGTCCCCAAGGAGAAACCCGGTGGGTTGGCAGCTTCTTTCCCCACGTTCCACTGTGGGACTCGCCAAGAACTGTGCAACCCCCCAGACCCGCTCCAGGCATGGGGTAATGTTCTGCTTTACATCCCCCAACGGCTACAATGAGGCTCAGGACAGTGACATGATGGCACAGCAAGCCAGAGGGCACTGGCGACAAGATGAGGGGGAGGGGTCTATAATTACACACACCTCAGGAACGCCTTCACTTTGGCTGTGTCTAGACTGGCAAGTTTTTCCGCAACATCATCTGATTTTGTGGAAAAACTTACCAGCTGTCTACACTGGCCGCTTGAATTTCAGGAAAAACACTGATGATATCATGTAAAATCATGCCAGTCTAGACGTAGCCTTTGTGTCTTTGTTATAATGTTACTGTGTTATAAGGGATGGACGGCTCTTAGAAATCCCCCCAGACTGTGAGACAGTTTCTGGACAGTCCCTGAGGGATGAATTCTCAAAACATAGAATCCTAGAAGACTAGACGTGGAAGGGACCTCGAGAGAGATCAAGTCCAGTCCCCTGCACTCATGGCAGGACCAAGCACCGTCTAGATCCGTGGGGTCTAACAAATGGCTATTTGGCTGGTTGAGTATGACTAGTTTGCCATAGCACTACCCACTATAGTGGCTAGTGGTTCAGAACTGGATGGACCCCGCGGCTCTGAACCATCCCTGACAGGTGTTTATTTATCCTGCTCTTAAACAACTCCAGGGATGGAGCTTCCACAAACTCCCATGGCAACTTTTTCCAGTGTTTAACCACCCTGACAGCTAGAAAGTTGTTCTTAATGTCCAACCTAATCCTCCTTTGCTGCAATTTAAGCCCATTCCCCCTTTCCTCTCATCAGAGGTTAAGGAGAACACTTTTCTCCATCCTCCTTTTAACGCCCTTTTAGGTACTTGAACATCTGATAACAACAGAGCTGGCTGGTGAAAATCTTGAGTTTGGGTCAGAACAGATGAAACCAAACATTTGGTTTGAAAATGCCACCACAGTGCCTCATGGGAGTTGTGGTTCAGGTGCTCCCATTTCTCCTCTATGAGCCTGGCTCCCTGGTTGGACTGCATCTCCCATGATGCACCATGGGCAACATCTAGCCACAGTGCCTCATGGGAGGTGAAGTCTGACGGAGAGTCAGGCCCATAGAGGGGAATGGGAGAATGAGGCAGCAGGCCAAATATTTTAGCTCTTCTGACAAAAGCAGAATGATTGTCCGGGCTGAGGGCATTTTGAGCAGCCAGTTTTTCCACATGCAATCTAAGTGTTGTGCAGAAATCAGCCACTTCCTGAAGCACTGCGCTTTCTTAGCACTCCGTTTTCCTTGGAAGAGCCGTGGAGATGGAACAGTCCCTGCCAGCCCTTGTTCTTTATTCTTCTAGTTCCCTTTATTCTAGCAGGCTTGACTAGGACAGAAGGAATTTATATTCGTAGGGCTTAAGATCCAGCAATTGTCAATACAGCGCAGAGGTCTGATCCGTGAGCCCCGTGTCTCACACCTCTGCCATCCCAAATCAGATCAACAGTCCATCTAGTTCAATTACCCACCTCTGTCTATATCGGCACAGAGCTGTGCTCCATCTAAGCTGGAATCTCCAGCGTCGGGGACTTTCATATCTCCCGTACTTTAACTGTGTAAAACTGCCCCTCGGTGGGATCCTACCCCACTCCCACACCATACTGGGCAGCTGAAAAGTGTCCGTCACACATCAGTCCATGCCCATTGGCGGTGACGAAGTACCTTTCGCCGTTGATCCCTGAACCGTTTTGCAGCCAATCTCCATGATCTCCCCTTTGGCTCCCAGGCTGACGACAGAGTCCTCCCTGCTGCAGCCGTCACTGATGACTTTGGTCTGGACATCTAAGGAGAGGGGGGAAAAGCACAGTCTGATAAGCACAATGGCTCCTTGGACAGGGGCTGTTGGATGAGCAGAGCAGCAGGGGATGGCGGAGACAGAAGGAACCATCCAGCTAAGAGGGGAAGAGGTTTTGTGCCACCAGGAAAGAGACAGGAACAAAATTTCCTGGGGTCCCCGGACCATGCCCCCCCAAGGGCATTAGGAACAAGGGGGGATTGGGGAGCTATAGATAGGGGCAGGGGATGGGACCTGGCTTGAGAATGGGAACAGCAGCCTTCTGCACACGCTGGCTGGAGCCCTGAGAGCTGGGGTCGAGGGGTACGGCCTTGTGGTTCAGGCAATCGCCGGGGATGCAGGAAATCCCAGCTGAGCTGCCAGCTCCATCACAGACGCCCTGCATGACCTAGGGCAGTTACTGCAGCTCCCTGCCTCAGTTTCCCCCTCTGTCAAATGGAGATAATGAGCCTCCCTTTTTGTCTGTCTGCACTGTAAGCTATTTGCAGCAGAGACCATCTCTCCCTCTGTGTCTGGGCAGCACTGCCCACAACTGGGCCCCGGTCTCAGCAGGTTTGTAGGTGCTACCATAATGGTCATAATAAGGAGAAATGCGCTGACTGGATATGGTATCTGCTGATGGGTCCCCAGGCAGGCTCCACCCCTACTTGGTCAGAGTCATGCTGCTTGTGATTTGCAGCTGCCACCTCTCCCTATCCTGGTGCCCTGTCTTGTCCCCCTCCAGGCCTGGCTTCCTACCCAGCTGCTCCGTGCGGAGGGTCAGGTTCCCGTTCTCGGTGGGGTTGGTGACGACGTCCATCACAATCCTCTCCACATTGTGCAGGATGATGGTGGCCAAAATGGAGAGCTGCTCCGTGCTCAGGTTGGACCAGGAGGACGTCTGCTTCAGGATGGAGGCAAATCCCCCAGCGGCTTTCTACGGGAAGCCGAGCGAGAGAGAGAGAGCTCTTATTGGCTATGCTGTGTGACCCCAACAACTGTCAGCCAATCTCCTACGAGCTGCTGATAGGGCCCTGCCCCTCGCCCTCCACGAGCTGAGTATCCACCATTGGTTTGTGCCACTTGGCAACGTCCCCCCTCTCGTGGCTGGTCCATCGAGATCTGAGCCAGCGACAGGACTCGGGGTTTGCTCTAAGGCCAACAGGCAGCTCTGAACGACTTCGGTGAGCCTTGGCTCAGGCGCTACCGGCTCATGCTTCTAAAGCCGGGTGTCCCTGCTAGGAGCTTTCGTGGCACCAGTTAGATCTCACTACACTGGGGTGGGCGATGATTTTTGATGGGGAGGCCACTCCAAGATTTTGGTAAGTGGCCGCACTTGTCTATGGGGAGGTGCGGGGGTCTGAGTTGGATGCAGAATAGGGATGTGAATGTGTAACTGTGCAAACGGTGATCCACTAAGTTTGGGCTTATCCTGGATGTGCATGTTTACATGCAGGTTCCTGCCCTGCTCCTGGGAAGCCGGCTGCCACTGCAGGTGCGTGTAACTGTTGAGATTCTCACAGGTTATGCTATTAGCCTGCCAAGTCCTAGGGTTGAACGCAGTGATGAGGTGGGATTCGGTGGCTGCGGTGACTCAGCAGGGTCTAACTCTAGCTGGAATCTCACCCAAGGATCGGGTCCGAATTAGCTGTGACGACTGAAAAAAAAAAAAGATTTTTGGCGTCGTTGGGGGGAGTTCTTAGAAACCATCTGATCAGTCTGCAGCAGCAGTCAAAAACTTAAACTGGATGTTGGGCATCGTTAGGAGGGGGATAGAGAATAAAACAGAACATGTCAGATCGCCTCTATGTAACTCAATGGGATCCCCACATCTTGAATTCTGCGTGCAGATGTGGTCACCTCATCTCAAGAAAAGATTCTTGGCACTGGAAAAAATTCAGAGGATTAGGGGCATGGAACAGCTGCCATATTAGGAGAGATTAATACAACTTGGACTTTTCAGCTTGAAAAAAAAGACAACTTAGGGGGATAGGATAGTGGGCTATAAAGTCCTTACTGGTGGGGAAAAGTGAATAAAGACGTTATTTATTCCTTGGATATCTTCCCTTTGGGAAAGGTTCAGAAAAGGGCCACCGAACTGATTAGGACCATGGACTGGCTGCCATATGAGGAGAGCTTAATAAAACTGGGACTTAAGAAATGACTAAGAGGGGATAGGATAGAGGTCTATAAAATTATGGCTGGTGTGGAGAAAGCGAATAAGTTATTTACTCCTTGGAAAAGTTATTTACTCCTTTTCATAACACAAGAACTAAGGATCATCATATGGAATTAATAGGTAGCAGGTTTAAAACAAAGAAAAGGAAGTATTTCATCACACAACACACAGTCAACCTGTGGAACTCCTTGTCAGAGGATGTTGTGAAGGTCAAGAGTACAACAGGGTTCAAAAAAAGAGCTAGATATATTCATGGTGGATAGGTCCATCAATGGCTATTAGCCAGGATGGGCAAGAATGATGTCCCTACCCTGTGTATGTCAACAACTGGGAATGGGTAACAGGGGCGGATTCACTCGATGATTATCTGTTCCCCTGGGACACCTGCCATTGGCCAATCAGAAGACGGGATACCATTGGTTTGACCCAGTATAGCTGTTCATACCTTCTTACACCTGAAAGCTGTGATAAAACACCCAGAGACACCTCCTCCTCTCTTACCTCCAGACACACCGCTGAGTTCTTCTCTTCACAGGGCTCTGCCAAGGCTCTGAAGGTGGATTTCAGTAAAGTGCAGTAGGCGGCCTGTGCAGGGTGGCAGGAGGGAGCCGGAGCAGAAGGGAGAAGCACACAGCACAACACAAAGTCAATGTCACAGCTGGAAGGTTGGGCTTGTGGTTAAGGCTTCGGGAGGGGACCTAGCACCTGGGGGTTCAAACTGCAGCATAGTCACTAAGCTGCCTTATTCTGCAAGGCTTCCTTTCCCCAGCTCTACAGTGGGGTGACCAATCCTGTCTTCCTCACTCAGATGGCTGTGTCTACACTGGCGCGATCTTGCGCAAAAACTTGCTGCCTGTCTACACTGGCCGCGTGTTCTTGTGCAAGTAAACTGATGTTCTAATGTATGAAATCAGGACTTCCTGCGCGAGAACTCTGATGCTCCCACTCTTCTTGCACAAGAGGCCAGTGTAGACAGGAACACGAATTTCTTGTGCAAGAAAGCCCTATGGTTAAAATGGCCATCGGAGCTTTCTTGCGCAAGAGAGCGTCTACACTGGCATGGATGCTCTCACGCAAATGCACATGCCAGTGTAGATGCTCTCTTCTGGAAGAGTTCTTGCGCAAGAAGCTGCCAGTGTAGACATAGCCAGAGAGTAAGTCTGGGGCACATGGACGGCCTCTTGCTGTGTGGCTATGCAGCACCTGACACAACGGGGACCCTGATCTTGGGGGGAGGTATCTTTGCAGCACCTGCTTGAAGTCAGAATACTACTGCAAAGGATTGTGGGTGGCAGAAAGGAACAAGGAGGATGCATTATGACTTCCGTGGGCCCTAGGCACTTTTGCCTTCCTGGGCCCATTCCTCCATAAAAAAAAATATTAAAAATTATTTTTGATATAAAACTTTAAATACTTCAACATTTTTTTTTCTGATTTAGGCAAAATTTAATAGGTTTTCGTGGGCCCTAAAAGTTTCATTTTTTTCTGATGTGAGAAAAAAATTAAAACATTTTCTCCGACCCTAAAAGTTCATTTTTTTCCTTCTGATTTTAAAAGAAATTCAAACATTTTTGTGGGCCCCTAAAAGTATCGTGGGCCCTAGGCACTGTGCCTCCTGTGCCTAATGGATAAGTCGGCCCTGGGAGGATGGGGAGCGGTTCTGTTGGTGGTACCGTGGGGCTCGGGGAGGAGCTATGGCTTCCTACACTGGGATTTTCCACCTGCTTAAGATTTGTCAGTTCTTGCTACTCTCCTGCGCCCTGCACGTTGCTGCTGGTTTGCTGGTAGGAAGGGCAGCCTGTCGCCCCAGGGATGACAGTCCCCTGTGCCAAAAATACTACGTGTGCCTGGCTTTGCTGTTAAGGACGGGGCAACAGGCAACACTGACCTGGGCTCCAAAACAGCTCCATCTTGGCAGCCCTAATGCCAGGTCCCTTTAAGAAGTTACTTGCCCGGGATGCGGCAAGCGCCCCTCCCTGGCACCCCCAAAATCACTGAGTCACTTCAGCCGGGGTTCCCTGCGCTGCCTTTGCCGTGAGCATCCCGAGAACAGCGGGGCCTGGTGACGCTGCCAGGATACCTACATCCTCTGGGGATGAGCCGTGAGCTGTGTCCAGACTCTGGTTCTGGGATTTCCTCACCAGATCGTTCTCTCCCAAGAAATGGGCCCGGCACTTTGAAGTGACCTCTAGGAGGAAATGAAATGAACAAAAAAACCCTCAATCAAATGTGTAGATTAGTAAATACGGTGGCCTGGGAAATTAGCATCCCCTGGGCTTGCCCATCCAGGGATGCAAAAGGGTTAAAAAGCTGCTTGTGCAACCAGTGACTTCCAGGCCTAGGGGTTACCGCCCAAGCAAACCCGACTGTTTGCTGATCCCCGATCCGGGTGGGAGTGCGGCATCTATTTCCTCTTGGGAGTCACAGCCAGGCACCTTCTCCAGGAGTCAGTTCACCCTTTGTCAAGGACAGCAGGAGAGGGGATAGTGCTGCCCCCCCCAGTCCCTCTAATAACTGACAAGTGGTCCTGTGGCACCTTAGAGACTAACAACAATATTGTTTTTAAAGTTACACCGACTAACACACCGACCCGTCCGAGAGCTCTTATAACCGATACCTGAGAGAGGGACATAGAGTCAAATCCCTCCTCTGCCTCATGTAGATCTGTGGGGTCCCCAAACGCTCAGGAAAGAGCTCTAACCACTAGGCTGCATGGCTGGTCTCTCTCCAGCTCTGTGATTGGGTAACAGTCATTGCAAGTAGGGGACAGGCACCTGGGTCTCTTCCGTGAGTGTTTTGTCTTGGGAGGTTGTCCGGCTGCAACGCTGCATGTGACCTGCCTTACCCCAGCCTGGCACCCTGTCCGCACTGCAGCTAAGTTGCGATTCCCCAGCTGGGCAGACACACGCTCGCTGGCTCTGTCTGGGCTATAAAGCCGTGCGGCCACTGTGCGGCTCAGGCTCTGCCCAGCGCACACCTGGGATCAGGGACAGGGTGGCTCTAGGGCACTGGCCCATCCGCTGCCTAGCACCTGTGAATTCTTCACCCTGCTAGGGAGTGTGTGTCTGTTTGGGCTGGACTCGCACCTCCCTGTTGCACTGCAGATCCCTGTCACATCCACCAGTAACACACCCACGCGCCTTCCTAGGGCTGGACCCAGGGGCCTGGGCCTGGCACAGAGGTTTTTGGTCTCATGGCGCCTCCCAGGAACACACTCGCCTGTTAGCTCAGGCAGCAGGGGCAGTGGGACACAGGGTTTGGTGTCTTGGCTCATCAACACTCCAGTGAAGAGGGAAGAGCAGAGGAAATTAGGGATGTTTTCAGTGCAGGGACCAAGCCAGGATAAAAACAGCCAGAAGGGAATTGTCCCTGAGCTCCCCAAGGTGGATGTTTTGGGACTTTTCTCACTGAAACAAACACCCCAAACGGTTCATCTGGGATCAAGCCTTCGCCCCAACAGCAGGTTTTGGTTTCCTGTTTCTTTTCGGTTGGGTGGTTGGATTTTAGCTCAATCTCCCAATGAAGCCTCATTTTGAAGCAAAAAGCCCCAAAGTTTCATGTAAACCACGTCGCGACGGTCACAAGGCCGGTCCCGAAGTTCCCGGCTTCGACTCCCACCCACAGCGTGTTACTTGTCAGAACAGGGCCGCTGTGCCAACCGCTGGCCACGGAGTTCAGTCTAATGACTCCAGTCCAGACCATGCTCTGACTCTAAGGCAGAGAATGAGGCTCCACCGGAGGATATGAGTCTCCCGGGCCAAAGACTTCAACATTTTTTTTTCTGATTTAGGCAAAATTTAATAGGTTTTCGTGGGCCCTAAAAGTTTCATTTTTTTCTGATGTGAGAAAAAAATTAAAACATTTTCTCCGACCCTAAAAGTTCATTTTTTTCCTTCTGATTTTAAAAGAAATTCAAACATTTTTGTGGGCCCCTAAAAGTATCGTGGGCCCTAGGCACTGTGCCTCCTGTGCCTAATGGATAAGTCGGCCCTGGGAGGATGGGGAGCGGTTCTGTTGGTGGTACCGTGGGGCTCGGGGAGGAGCTATGGCTTCCTACACTGGGATTTTCCACCTGCTTAAGATTTGTCAGTTCTTGCTACTCTCCTGCGCCCTGCACGTTGCTGCTGGTTTGCTGGTAGGAAGGGCAGCCTGTCGCCCCAGGGATGACAGTCCCCTGTGCCAAAAATACTACGTGTGCCTGGCTTTGCTGTTAAGGACGGGGCAACAGGCAACACTGACCTGGGCTCCAAAACAGCTCCATCTTGGCAGCCCTAATGCCAGGTCCCTTTAAGAAGTTACTTGCCCGGGATGCGGCAAGCGCCCCTCCCTGGCACCCCCAAAATCACTGAGTCACTTCAGCCGGGGTTCCCTGCGCTGCCTTTGCCGTGAGCATCCCGAGAACAGCGGGGCCTGGTGACGCTGCCAGGATACCTACATCCTCTGGGGATGAGCCGTGAGCTGTGTCCAGACTCTGGTTCTGGGATTTCCTCACCAGATCGTTCTCTCCCAAGAAATGGGCCCGGCACTTTGAAGTGACCTCTAGGAGGAAATGAAATGAACAAAAAAACCCTCAATCAAATGTGTAGATTAGTAAATACGGTGGCCTGGGAAATTAGCATCCCCTGGGCTTGCCCATCCAGGGATGCAAAAGGGTTAAAAAGCTGCTTGTGCAACCAGTGACTTCCAGGCCTAGGGGTTACCGCCCAAGCAAACCCGACTGTTTGCTGATCCCCGATCCGGGTGGGAGTGCGGCATCTATTTCCTCTTGGGAGTCACAGCCAGGCACCTTCTCCAGGAGTCAGTTCACCCTTTGTCAAGGACAGCAGGAGAGGGGATAGTGCTGCCCCCCCCAGTCCCTCTAATAACTGACAAGTGGTCCTGTGGCACCTTAGAGACTAACAACAATATTGTTTTTAAAGTTACACCGACTAACACACCGACCCGTCCGAGAGCTCTTATAACCGATACCTGAGAGAGGGACATAGAGTCAAATCCCTCCTCTGCCTCATGTAGATCTGTGGGGTCCCCAAACGCTCAGGAAAGAGCTCTAACCACTAGGCTGCATGGCTGGTCTCTCTCCAGCTCTGTGATTGGGTAACAGTCATTGCAAGTAGGGGACAGGCACCTGGGTCTCTTCCGTGAGTGTTTTGTCTTGGGAGGTTGTCCGGCTGCAACGCTGCATGTGACCTGCCTTACCCCAGCCTGGCACCCTGTCCGCACTGCAGCTAAGTTGCGATTCCCCAGCTGGGCAGACACACGCTCGCTGGCTCTGTCTGGGCTATAAAGCCGTGCGGCCACTGTGCGGCTCAGGCTCTGCCCAGCGCACACCTGGGATCAGGGACAGGGTGGCTCTAGGGCACTGGCCCATCCGCTGCCTAGCACCTGTGAATTCTTCACCCTGCTAGGGAGTGTGTGTCTGTTTGGGCTGGACTCGCACCTCCCTGTTGCACTGCAGATCCCTGTCACATCCACCAGTAACACACCCACGCGCCTTCCTAGGGCTGGACCCAGGGGCCTGGGCCTGGCACAGAGGTTTTTGGTCTCATGGCGCCTCCCAGGAACACACTCGCCTGTTAGCTCAGGCAGCAGGGGCAGTGGGACACAGGGTTTGGTGTCTTGGCTCATCAACACTCCAGTGAAGAGGGAAGAGCAGAGGAAATTAGGGATGTTTTCAGTGCAGGGACCAAGCCAGGATAAAAACAGCCAGAAGGGAATTGTCCCTGAGCTCCCCAAGGTGGATGTTTTGGGACTTTTCTCACTGAAACAAACACCCCAAACGGTTCATCTGGGATCAAGCCTTCGCCCCAACAGCAGGTTTTGGTTTCCTGTTTCTTTTCGGTTGGGTGATTGGATTTTAGCTCAATCTCCCAATGAAGCCTCATTTTGAAGCAAAAAGCCCCAAAGTTTCATGTAAACCACGTCGCGACGGTCACAAGGCCGGTCCCGAAGTTCCCGGCTTCGACTCCCACCCACAGCGTGTTACTTGTCAGAACAGGGCCGCTGTGCCAACCGCTGGCCACGGAGTTCAGTCTAATGACTCCAGTCCAGACCATGCTCTGACTCTAAGGCAGAGAATGAGGCTCCACCGGAGGATATGAGTCTCCCGGGCCAAAGGGACTGTGGGGTTTTGCGAGCAAACGGCAGAAGGAAGGGAGTTGCCTGGCAGCTGATCCTGTAGCTATTCTAGCTGGGTGGGAAGGAGCCTCAGGTACCGTCCCCATGAAATCTCTGCAGCTGTTGGGGCTTTGGAGAGTCCGAATCCCGGGTGGGCTGGCAGAGCCGCTCCGTACCTAGCTCTCCATTGTGGGGTGACCTGGTCAGCAGGCATTAGCCTTTCATACCCGGAGCCCCACACACATCCCCCGTATAAGACACTTACCTGTGCAGCTGAAGGGGGCGCCAGGCTGGCTGGGCGGGAGGTAGCCTGACTGGCACCTGCAGGTGTAACTGCCCGGGGTGTTGCTGCAGATGGAGTCAGGGCCGCAGGGCGATGGGTCTCGGGAACATTCGTCAATATCTGGACAGGGAAGAATCCAGGTTGGTCATGTGTGACCCTAAGACACCAGTGTCCTACTGCCCTGGGCTCCTCACGCTGACCCAAGCCCCATTGGATCCAGTGGGAATCTGTCCATCAGCCTTAGAGACCATTTCCATCGGTCACTCTGCCTTGTGCCTGAACTGGCTTTCACCATTGCGCTGTGCTGCTGGGTCAGTGACATGCTGCTCCCCAGAACTGGATGCAAAGCCAGGTTAGCAGGGGCAGCAGTGGCCCCCTGGGATGTGGGTGCAGGTGGTGTCCAATGTCACATCACTGAATACAGATGGGCCCTGGTCTGCACAACAGAGCCTTCTCTCCGTGGGAGGATGGCATAGAGGGGAGCAGGGCCAGTAGGTGGCATCAGAGGAAGCACCGTGCCAGGAATATGGCTCCCTGCAGGTTTGCAATATGTTGCCCATCCCCCAGAGGCAGCCGTGCTAGTGGCCTGGGAGGTGGGAGCCAGGACACCTGGGTTCCCTTCTCAGCTCTGTGAGGAGAGGGAGGGCTGGGAGCTGGAGCAGGGAGGAGCCTGGGGAGCGGGAAGGGGAGTCCGGACACCTGGGATCTATTTCTGGCAGTGGGGTAGGAAGGTGCTGGATTGGTCCTAGCAGGATGGTGCACAGGCGGGACTCCTGGGTTCTATCCTGAGCTGCAGGAGGGGAGTGAGGTCTAGCAGATAAAGCAGAAGGGGGAGTCGGGGCTCCTGGGTTCCTCTCTTAGCTCTTGCACAGATTCTGTGCGACTTTGGTCAAGTCTTTTCCCCACCTGATGCCTCAGTTTCCCCCACTGTGACATGGAGACAATTTTCTCTCCCCAGATCTCCTTGCCCGTTATTGCAGGGCCACGTGCTGAGAGGCAGAGGACCCGCCCCTCCCCTGTAACCAATGAAGTGGAGGATTCTTAGCTGTCCCTCAACATGCACATGCACGGCCACAGGGACATTGCTCTAAAATCTCCGATCAATGGCTCAGCTGCGGCGCACTGACCTAATGTGGAGCAACCACGAGGACATCTCTCATAGAGGAAGCAAAGGCTCTGCCGGCACAGACACTTATACTCAGGCTCACCAGCCACGCTCTTCGCCACAGGGGAGTAGTTGACATTAATTGTCAAGCCCTGCTTATACTATATAATGATTATATATACTAAAAAAGAATCACTGTGGCTTAACCACCATGTAAAAGAAGCAGTGAGGGACAAAACAGCATCTTTTAAGAAGTGGAAGTCAATCCTAGTGAGATAAATAGAAAGGAACATAAACACTGTCAAATCAAGTGTAAAAATGTAATAAGAAAAGCAAAAAAAGATTTTGAGGAACAGCTATCTGAGGAACTGTCCCGGACTGAAGTGTCATTAGAGGAGGTTTTGGACAAATAAAAAAACTTAATGTTAAGAAATCTCCAGGACCGGATGGCATTCATCCAAGGGTTCTAAAAGAACTCAAATGAGAAATTGCTGAACTATTATCTGTGGTTTGTAACCTATCCTTTAAATCGGCTTCCATACCTAATGACTGGAAGGTAGCCAACGTGACGCCAATATTTAAAAAGGGCTCTAGAGGTGATCCTGGCAATTACAGACAAGTAAGTCTAACTTCAGTACCAGGCAAATTAGTCAACACTGCGACCTGAGGGCAACCTGCGACCTGAGGATCCCCATGTCTCCTTCCTCCTCAACGCATGCGCCTCTCACGCACTGGTGCACCGGAGCCCCACACGTCCTACTCCTTCCCCTCCTCCCAGCACTTTTAGGAGCACCACGAATCGCCTGATTTGTGCTCTGTACCCCCTTCCACGCCCCCCTCCATGGGCTGGAACACGGCGCATCAGCTGTTGGCAGCATTCCAGCTGAGGGAGGGAGGGGGAGCAGCAGGAAGTGCGGGGCTCCGGTGCCTCGGTACGTCAGAGGTGTGTGAGGAGAGGGGCAGGTGGGGTCTCCGCAAGGCTGCCGGAGGAACCCTAGGGGGCCATAATCTGCTCCGGCCCCCTGAGAGGAAGGAGGGGCTCTCTTGCAGCCCACTCACTATCCTTGCCCATCGCTGCTTTGCGCTGTAGAGATCCTGTCTGTGCATCAGCCAAGACAGAGGCTGTGACATTTGGAGCCAGCTAATAACCCCCTGGGTCATGGGTTAGTGCATCAAAATCATGAATGGGACATTTACCATTCAGGTCTGAAAACGTCTCTCATTTAAGAACACAGGGATGGCCAGACTGCCCTAAGACACCAGTGTCCTACTGCCCTGGGCTCCTCACGCTGACCCAAGCCCCATTGGATCCAGTGGGAATCTGTCCATCAGCCTTAGAGACCATTTCCATCGGTCACTCTGCCTTGTGCCTGAACTGGCTTTCACCATTGCGCTGTGCTGCTGGGTCAGTGACGTGCTGCTCCCCAGAACTGGATGCAAAGCCAGGTTAGCAGGGGCAGCAGTGGCCCCCTGGGATGTGGGTGCAGGTGGTGTCCAATGTCACATCACTGAATACAGATGGGCCCTGGTCTGCACAACAGAGCCTTCTCTCCGTGGGAGGATGGCATAGAGGGGAGCAGGGCCAGTAGGTGGCATCAGAGGAAGCACCGTGCCAGGAATATGGCTCCCTGCAGGTTTGCAATATGTTGCCCATCCCCCAGAGGCAGCCGTGCTAGTGGCCTGGGGGGGGGGAGCCAGGACACCTGGGTTCCCTTCTCAGCTCTGTGAGGAGAGGGAGGGCTGGGAGCTGGAGCAGGGA